GATCAGTGTCCCAGCGCTTAAAAATGGCAGCAGAGGCACTTGAACTAAAGCTTGTCAAATGAGCTTTAGTTCAAGTGCAGCTGTCACCATTTTTAAGCGTAGGGATGCTTTTAGGAGCAGAGTTAAGTAGGGTGAGGGCAGATGCAGGCTGCTAGCTGCAAGCCTGGGGTTCTCTGCCCTGCTGCCTTTGCCCTGGGAGGCCCATACTGACCGTACCATGTCCCCTGCTGCCCAGCAGTGGGAGGCACAACTCATTGCTGCTACTGCTACCAGAAGGGCAGGGGACTCGCAGCCAGCATGCAGCTTCTGGTGCAAAGGCAGCAGGGTGGACAGCCCCGAGCCCGCAGCAGGCAGCCTGCATCCACCCTTGCCCCGTGCACCCATCTGGGGGGCCACATGCTGCCCAGGCCTCCCCTAGTGATACACACAGTGGTAGGGAGCCACCACCCCCAGGTGAGCCGCCCACAGCTCTGTCCTGCTCTCCACCCTGGCCCCAGGTCCCATTTATTACCCTGGCCAGCCACTTGCTATTACTAGCTGAGAATGAAGAGAGGCTGATAAAAGTAGTAAATGATAAGGCTAGCAACCACATTACATTTGCAATCCTTCCTATTGGCCAAGATGGGCACATATCAGAGTTGGTAATACAACCTTGGTCATCTTATACTGCTTCAAATTAAACTATGGCAACCAAGACAACTGGGGGAAAATTGAAGAAGATTAGATTTAAAAAAACAGAACAAGAGATGAAAGGGATCAAATAATCAAGTCAGAATGATGGCACAGTGAATTTCTGTAGCCAACATAAACTGCAATATTATTTAAAGCAAAGAAGTTCTAAAAGAATGAAACAAGACCATGGTGCCCATCTGTGCAATTACTGTAACTCTATCCATAATTGCACCACCTGCCTGGGATGTTTGACCCTTGCTCTCTTAACACCACTCAGACAGCATATTAAGGAAGCTTTGGTGTGCAACAAATAAGGTGAGCTCCAGTTTTAAGCCCTCATAAAGTATTTTCAGCCAAATAAAGGTAATCTTGGAAACATCTGAGACTAACAGTCGTCTAGCACTAATCTCTGTAGTGGCTACATTATTACTGACAAAGATCACAAGAGGCAAGGCAGCCTGTAAAAGTGGAGATGGTTTTCAACTCTGATGTAGCCAGAATGTCCATTAGGTCTTATAAAACTAAGGGAAGTAAGAGTATTTAATAACCTAGCAACTCAGGGAAAGAATTTTCTCTGCAGAACCCAAGTCAAGTTCCTCCCAACTTCACTTGTTTCCCTCTGGCTAACCATCTTAATAGAAGCTATTATGATTTTGAAGTCAATATTGCTAAGGAACAGAGAAAGGAAACAGAGCAGAAAAAAGGGGGGGGGAACGGTGAAAGCCAGCTAGAATATCAATTATACAACAGTTGCAAGGCAGGAACAGTCTTGAACCTCTCCTTAAGTAGACCTGGGAAAACAGACCATTCTGTTGCATCCAAACTCAAGTTTTACTCTCAGGCTTCCATCCCTGGGTGAGCTGTCCCACTGTGCCCTTCTTCGGCAATCCTTCACTGTTGAGGATGATTGTCTTCCACGATTTTCTTATCTGTATGTCCAAAGATGGCTGATGAGGCCTATCTGGGATCAACAGACTACTGCAGCTTGGACGTGAGTTTCCATGTGGGGTGGGTGGCACTGGATTCTTGATTTGATTAGTGCTAGACGACATGTTGTTTCTGCTGCTCCCACTTGTCCATCTCCTGCTGTTGTCATGAGGTTTCAAAGTACAGAGATCCCTGCAGCAGGCTCTTCCTCCATTTGGGGCAGTCCTGGGCAATAGTCTTCCATATGTGGACATTGATGTGCATTTTCTTAAGTTGGTCTTGAGGATATCCCTGAAACGCCTTCTCTGCCCTCCTCTTGATTGCACACCTTGAGCTACAAGAATATAAAACTTGCTTTGGGAGTCTGAAGTCAGACATCCAGATGACATGGCCAGCCCAACAAAGTTGATGTTGGGTGATCATCGCCTCAATACGCACAGTGTTTGCTTACAGTAGGACGCTAACAGTGGTGCACCTGTCTTCCCACTGGATTCAGAGAATCTTCCACAGACAGTGTTGATGGTACATCTTGAACAACTTTAGATTTCTCCTATATACTCTCCATGTCTTGGCTCCATACAGCAATGTGGGGATCACAACTGCTTGATAAACCAGTTTGGTTTCAGATCTGATGTCATGATTTTCAAGCACACATTTCTTCAGGTGTCCAAAGGCTACACTTGCACATTTGAGGCAATGTTGGATTTCTTCATCCATGTCACCCTTCTGTGAGAGATGGCTTCCAAGGTACAGGAAATGCTCAACATTCTCGTTTCACTGTGGATCTGAATTGCTGGAACTGAGAACTGTTCATTAGGAGCTTGTTGGTGGAGGACCTTCATCTTCTGAATGTTAAGCGCCAGTCCCACTTTCTTGTATGCCTCGGTAAAAATGTCAATGGGTGGTTGAAGGTCTGCTTCTGAGTGAGAACACACTACAACATCATCAGCATATTGGAGCTCAATGATTGAGGTCTGAGTGTTCTTGGTTTCGACTCAGAGTTGCCCGAGGTTAAACAGCTTACCATCCATTCGGTAGTTTAGCTTCACTCCGACTAGAAGCTTGTTAGTGGTCAGATGTAGCATCACAATAAGAAATATTGAGAAGAGTGTTGGAGCAATGATGCAGCCTTGCATAATTCCCATTTTAACCTCAAAGGGATCTGTGATAGATCCATTACTGAGAACCACCGCTCACATACCATCACGGAGCAGGCAGAGAATGGTGACAAATTTCAGCAGGCCTCCATATTTCAGATCCTCCGCAAGCTTCTTGGCTGACAGAGTCAAAAGCTTTTGTGAGATCAAAGAAGGCCATGTAGACAGGCTTATGTGGTGCCTGGCATTCCTCCTGCAGCTGGCAAGCTCTGAAGATCATGTCATTTGTACCTCTTGATGCCCTAAACCCAAACTAAGATTCCGAGAGGAGCTCTTCAGCAAGTGGAAGGAGATGGTTCAAGAGGGTTCTCGCAATGATCTTTTCTGGGGTGGACAACCAGGTGATTCCTCTGTAGTTTCCACAGCCGGACTTGTCTCTTTTCTTGAAGACTGTCATAATCATGGCATCCCTGAGGTCATCTGGGATTTCCTCATCATTCCAGATCCTTAAGAAGAGGGCATGGAGCTGTAATGTGAGCTCCTCTCCTCCCTGTTTAAGGATTTCAACAGGGATTCCATCAGCTCCAGATGTCTTGTTCTTCATCTGCTTAATGGCTTACCTCATCTCAACAAGGGTTGGAGGGATTCCAAAATCATCTCTGACTGCATATTGCAGGATGGAGTTGAGAACACTCCTGTCAACAGCAAAATCTCTTCTGAGGTCTTCAAAATGCTCCTTCCAACAGGCATTGATAGCTCCCCCTTGCCATGATCAGGTCTCCTCCTCCCTTATGACTCAAAAGGTCTAGTCCCTAAGGGCTCAGACCACAGACAGCTTTGGTGGCACTGAAGAAACCGCACATATCATGGATGTCAGCAAGATGTTGAGTCTCCTTCGCCTTATCTTCCCACCATTTGTTCTTCATATCGCGAGTCCTCCTTTGGACCTCTGCCTTGGTTTGTTGGAGATTCAATTTCTTTTGCTTGGAATTAGTGTCATTTTGCCAAGCACAAAAGGCCTTCTGCTTGCCTTGGATCTCCTGGTTGTTCTCATCAAACCAGTCTTGATGTTTCCTGGCAGAGAATCCAAGCATCTCTTCACAAGCACTGATGACAGTAGCCTCCACATGGTGCTGATAAAAAGATGCTTCTTCCACACTGGTCTTGAGGCACAATGTATGCCTACTCTACCAGCTCTCTCTAGCACCATGTCACGCATACAACCATTGAAAAATTCAACGTTTCAGTGTAACTGAAACCCTGAATACCACCATCTCATTCGACACCTACAAGAAATACATTCAAGATCAACAATGAAAAGTCAAACCTCCTTTTTACAAAACTCACGAAAGAAAACTCATCATCTTTTACATGAGTAAAACAAACCAGTGATGTAGCCTTTTATGATCATTTACACTACTGAAGAGGTGTAAAACAGAACAGTAAAAGGTGCCCTTCCAATCTTAAGAAAAAACTCACTGCAAGCACACACCTTAAATCCAGAAAAAGTATCCATAGTACTGTAGCTACAGTTGTGTTGATCCGCACCTCCACTTTCATATACTAGTAAATTGGTGATTGATGTGACTTCTTTGGCTGAGGCCTGATCCACATGCACAGGGTTAATCAGCTCAGAAGCTATTCTTAGCTAGTTTAGAAATCTTTTTGTTCAAAGATTAAAAACCATATTGGAAGAATAACAAAATATTAAATGCTAGTCAGATTAATATTTTTTGTTATTTATGTATTTTAACCCGTTTCAGGATGTAGCTGTGAGGGCTTTAAGAGTGGGAGCAAGGGGGAAGAGGGGGCAGCGAGTAACAAGAGGCAAGATTACCACACAATAGAGACCTTAAAACCAAAGTATGAGGGGAAGTTACTAGTGGAAGTTACTATAGGAGTACCCTTAGATATGGGAACAGTCTGGAAGCCTGAGATGAAAACAAAATAAGAATTTAAATTATAATCCCAGATCTGATACAGATTCCATTGGTTGCTTGAGCGAGTTACTTAACCTCACCCCATTAGTTCCTAAGAGACAACACTTACTCAATTCATATTACTGTTGGGCAGATTCAACTGCTTTAAAAATCAAAGCAGTAGATAATAAGCTGCATTTCACTGTGAAATATGACTTATTTGACTTCCACAAGGAGTTTATTTCTAGTCACACTTTCTAGTCTAGAGCTTACACATCTCATGCCAGAGAGCAATGCTATCTGCATATTTAAATAGTCGCGATGTGACCCTGGACATTTAATTTTCAGGTAAAGTTACTTAAGTCTTAACCTAAAAGGACCATACCTTATATAATGGACGACGAACATCAATGGGACAGTTCTGTATAACTTCATCAACTACATCCGAAATGGAATCCATAAAATCTGGATTAGCAAACTAAGACAAAGTAGAAAACAGACACTCAGATTACATGTTGGCAGGGCAGGGCAAAGAAGAGAAGAGACAATGCAGGTGACAGGACCCTAAAGAGTTTATTTGCATGAATATGTTGCGCCTAGGGCTGTGAAAGATTAAACGGTAAATATACTTATACTGTTAATGCATTAGTTAACGTTTAGTGCCGGATGCAGTCTGGCAGGGAAGGGAAGTGGCACAGTGCCCCAGGAAAGCACCTAGTCGCAACATGTGGCTCTGCTTCCCCCTCCCTGCTGTGAACTGCTGACTTAGGAGGGAGAAGAAGGGGAAGAGGGGAAGGAAGGGACTAGTTGCAACACATGGGTGCTAGTGTTATCAGTTAAAAGATTAACTGATAATTAGAAGAGTTTAAATGGGTAGTTATTTAAAGTATGTTTAACATCCCTGATTGCACCAGCATTTTTATGCTAAGAAAAAAAATTAATTGGGGCTGAGGGTACTTCTGCTTATGGAACATGTTATGTAGTGACCAGAAGAAAAATAACGTTACTGTTGTGTTATAAAACATTCTCCTGATGTACTAAAACACAGGCTTCACAGCACTCGCCACATCCCTCCATAAAGTCCTATTTGCCTGTTGTAACTCCAAATCATTCATTACACTGTCAAAAATTGACTGTACTAAAGGTTGTATATTTGGTAGTTGTGCATATATACAGTGTTCTCAAGCATGTGCACTTTATATATATCTTCGGAAGTACTGTAAAAAAATTAAAATCGTCGAAGTTTAAGCAGAACAGTGAATGGGAATGCAAACAAATGAAGTTACCACATCCAAGGTTGAAGCAAAATTCATATTTTAAACATACTGCAGCAAGGGGAATCAGATAATCTCCTCCCCAGAATATCTACATAACTAGCATATGGATTTGAAAGCCTAGTAAGAAGGATATTTTAATAAATCTGTAAAGTCAAGGATGGTAGGATAGTAACCAGGTGAGTGAACAGAAAAAATGTAGTACTCATGTTTAATAAAGGAAAAGAAAAAGTGGCCTGGAAAAACCAAAGGCTTCTTAAATCTGGACCTAAATGGTATGCAAGGCTTTAGAATATATTTGAAAGAAAAAACTTTGACATGGAGGCATAGGCACCAGAAAGCCGGGGCTAATGGGGTTTAGCCCCCACCAAACGGAGCTCTGCTACTCCAGTCCCACCACCGCAGCGCTGCATCCAGTGTCCCTGTCGCATGCTGGCCCTGCAACAGCCCTGTGGGAGGGTGGGGTGACCCCACACCACCCTGCACTGCACCCCCAGGCCCCCAAATAATATTTTCTCCTGTCACTACTGCATGGAGGTGAGAAAAAATAAATTAAATGCAAGATGGGGTTACCAAAGGTAGATTGTACCAAAGAAGCAGCTGATAACTGATATTCTAGACAAGAGGACTACCATATATCAAATCTACCAGGACTTCAATAAAACATTTGATATGATGCTTTGGGGAAAATTATTAATCTGGAGAAGACAGGAATTAGTCCAAAACCATGAGATGGATAAGGAACAGTATAAAAGGACTGTGTTGTAAATGAAATTAGATTAGAGGGCAGTTACTACTGGAGTTCCTTAAGGACTGGTTTTAGAACTAAATTTATTTTCGTTTAGAAACTTGGCAAAAATACTAGCCTGAAGTTGGATGCCACTGTCAATATGGAAAAGGATCACAGTATAAAAAAATTGATATATAACCTCGAAGCCTGAGGTAGAGCGGAAATTTAACTGTACAAAGTGTGAGGTCACACATTTAATAAGAGTTTCAGGTATAAAATGGTGGCTCAACAGCTGAAAATGACAGTAAAGGAGAAAGACATTGGTGTATTAATCATCCCGTGACAAACTATAAGCTATAAAATGTAGCATGGTCATTAAAAAGGCAAATGCAATCCTAGAACTCATCAGCTGAGGTATTTCCATTAGAGATAGGAAAATATTAAAATGATTAAACACAACACTGGTAAGAGCTCCTCTGAAGTACTGTGTATAATTCTGGTCACACACCTAAAAACACCTTCAAAACTGGAATAGGGCTAGTAGCATGATCAGGAGAATGGAGAGCCAATTTGACACGAGGAGACTAAGAGAGCTTGGATTGCTTGGTCTAGCACAGCAGTTTTCAACCTGTAGTCCATGGACCCTTCAGGGGTCCACAGACTGTCTAAGGAGTCCATGAAAAATGACTATGATCAATCAAAAGTATGTGACTACCCACACTTAACAATTCAAAGAGGTCTGCACCACCATTCAAAATTTCCAGAGATCCTGTACCTCCATTTGACATTTTCAGGGGTCTGCAAATGAAAAAAGGTTGAAAGTCACTGGTCTAGCACAACATTGGCCAAGGTAGAATGTGACAGCTTTCTGTAAGCAGACTGGGAAGTAAATACCAAGAAGGAGAGGCAGGAGGAGGGGAGAGAGCTATTTAAACTAAAGGTTAAGGCTGGCACAAGAATAAATAGGATATGCATTTAAAGCAGTCATGATAAAATTTAGACAACAAATGAAAAGGTGCAAGTCAGCAAGGTTCTGCAATAGGAACAGAACAAAGAAGGCAAGAGACACAGACTTTTTTTAAGCTGGGGCTTGATAAACATTTAGGAAGATTATATATGTGGTCACTTGTGACAGCAAGAGACTCAGTGACGTAGGAAGTCCTTTCCAATACCATGTTCCCACATATAAATAGGTGCAACTCTCTCAACTGAACCACTTGTTGTTTTTCATAATGATAAAAGTGATCTCTAAGGTATCACCCAATTTCTAACTTCAAAACATCATCAGGAAGCTGCTAGATTAGTCACAACTGGGGCTGGATTCAACTGCCCTAAAAAGTGCCAGCTTCCCTGTCACAGTGATATTCATCTGTAATGGGAATGGCCAAATGATGGCTTGAAAACTGCATGCAGCTCCCAAGCACTTTGAATGTGCTTCCAGAAGAAAGTGGTAGGCAACTGTCAATCCTATGGTTCATTAGTGACAGAGGATGGATCTTTAGTGACAGAGGATGCAGAAAAGACTGAAGTACTCAAAGCCTTTTTCAGCTCACTCTTCACAGGCAAGGTCAGCTCCCAGTTTGGGGAGGAGGTGAGCAGCCTTCGGTGATAGAAGAGCAGGTTAGGTACTATTTAGAAAAGCTGAACATATAAAAGTCATGGGGCCAGACTGAATGCACCCAAAGGTACTGAGGGAGTTGGCCAATGTGACTGCAGAGCCACTGGCCATCATCTCTGAAAACTCATGGAGATTGAGAGGGGTCCCAGATGATTGAAAAAGGGCAAATATAATGCCCACATTTAAGAAAGGGAAAAAGGAAGATCCAGGGATCTACCGACCAGTCAGCCTCACCTCAGTCCCTGGAAAAATCATGGAGCAGATCCTCAAGAAATACATTTCTAAGCCCTTGCAAGAGAAGGTGATTAGAAACAGTCAGCAAGGATTCACCAAGGACAAGCCATGCCTGACCAACTTGATTCCTTCTATGATGAGATGACTGGCTCTGTGAATAAAGAGAGACCAGTGGATGTGGTTTAAGCAAGGCTCGATTTTAGCAAGGCTAATTAGATCTCCCACAACATTCTTGCAAGCAAGCTGAGGAAGTACAGATTAGATGAATGGACTGTAAAGTGGACAGAAAGCTGGCTGGATCATCAGGCTCAACAGGTAGTGATCATTGGCTCAAGATCTAGTTGGCACCCGGTCCTGGAGTCAGTTTTGTTCAATATCTTTATCAATGACCTGGAAGATGGCACAGAGTGCACCCTCAGCAAGTCTGCAGATGACACCAAGCTAGGGGGAGTAGTACATGTGCTGGAGGGGAGGGTTAGGATTCAGAGAGACCTAGACAAATTGTAATATTGGACCAAAAGACATCTCATGAGGTTCAATAAAGACAAGTGCAAAGTCCTGCACTTAGGACGGAACAATCCCATGTATTGCTTTAGGCTGGAGACTGGCTGGCTGGGCAGCAGCTCTGCAGAAAAGGACCTGGGGGTCACAGTGGACAGTAAGCTTAATATGAGCCAACCATGTGCCCTTGTTGCCAAGATAGCTAATGGTATACTGGGCTGCATTAGTAGGGCTGTTGCCAGCAGATCAAGGAAAGTGATTCTTCCCCTATATGCAGCACTAGTGAGGCCACATCTGGAGTACTATGCCCCACTACAGAACGGATGTGTACAAATTGGAGAGAGTCCAGCAAAGGGCAACAAAAATGGTTAGGGGGCTGGAGCACATGACTTCTGGGGAGAGGCTGAGGGAACTGGGCTTCTTTAGTCGGGGTGGGCAGGAAAGGTTAATGGCAGCCTTCAACTACCTGAAGGGGGTTCCACAGAGGATTGAGCTGGACTGTTCTCAGTGGTGGCAGATGACAGAACAAGCAGCGATGGGCTCAAGTTGCAGCAAAGAAAGTTTAGGTTAGATATTAGAAAAAACTCTCTCACTAGGAGAGTAGTAAAACACTGGAACAGTTTACCCAGAGGTGGAGGAATCTCCATCCTTGGAGGTTAAGACCTGGCTAGACAAAGCCTTGCCTGGGATGATCTAGTTGGGGATGGTCCTGCTTTGAGCAGGGGGTTGGACTAGATGTGACCTCCTGAGGTTCCTTCTAACCCTAATTTTCTATTATTCTATGGTGTATGTTTAAAAGGTCTAGTCAGGTGCCTGATAAAGCTGCTTGTACAGAGTCCTGTGTATGAGACACATCCCGAGAAAAATTAAAAATCGTTGAATGTTGAAACATTTTTAATGTAATTTTGAGAAACATTGCTTATTAATTAGGCTTAGAAAAAAAATCTGTGGTTACATTAAACAGGTCCAAGTATGTTAAAAGAAACTGATTTCGGTATTAAAACTTGAGTCACTGGCCCTGTTAATCATCTAAAAGGCAATACATGCTTAAGTGTCCAAGACTTGAGACAGTGCAAGCATGTTGCTAGAAAATCAGAGTGATATCCAAGGAACTGACTACGTTACTGAATATATTGTATATTTTGAGTTAAAACAGCAAACACATATTTAAAAGCAGAAAAATAGAAAGGCCTGCTTATCCCAGTCATGTGAGATTCCAGGTAGCTGTTTTCCTGTTTTAATGTGCATTTGACAAATTAAAAGGCTTAACCCTTTTATAGATCCTGAAGAAAACCAAGAGATTTTAACCAACTTCCACATACAGCAATACTATAAAGTCATCCAGCCCTTCCAGACTTATTGCTATCTTATTTCCACAAGGTGGTGCTCTGGCACCAAGAATATTGCATTTTCCCTTCCATTCAAACTTAGTATAAAGCAATATTAGGCAACAATTCTTACCTCAGGATGAAAGAAAATTTCAGGTCCAAGAAACCTTTCATAACCAACATCAATAATAAATTTTTTTTTGTTGATTGCATTGATGCCAGTATACTGTTTGATCCATTTTCGTGGATCTACATCATACTTAGCAAATTCTTTTACTATGTCAGGACAAATATAACAGTATTTTTCCTGTAAAGAAATATAATGAATTAAAAATTGCCAAAAAATTCCCCCCATTATTCAGTACAGTAAAGAATATTTCAGGCAAACTGAAAACAATGTAATTGGGGAACTGAATGTGACGAGGTCTAAGTCTATTAATCAGGCACTCCAATTTGGTAAATATTGCTCCTACATTCAATCCTTCTTTGAAAACAGGCTGGTCAGGAAATGTTCCCACAGTTTAGTATTTAAGACCCAAATCCCACAAATGATTTCAAATGGGGCTCTAGATGGAAATCTCAATATAATCACTGGTTTCTAAGGACAAAAGGGTTCACACCTGCATGCCTCTCACAGCAGGATCAGAACTGGGTGACTGTACTGATGTTATGCATGATAATCAAAACTCAGAAGCTCAAATGTTTATAGATTTTTTTAAATAAAATAACTAAAATCTGAACCAAGTTCAGAGCCTAATCAAATGTCAGCTTTCTTTTGAAATGTATTCTATAGAATAAGACTTAATTGCCAATTATTCTTATTTCTTCCCTTCCCCCTCATGTTGTCAAAAAATTCAATAAATGAAAGGAAAAGCAAAGTTAACTAGACAATTCTTAGGTCTGCATTTTTAAGCGGTCACTGGCAACTTTTTAAAGCAAAAAATCATCCTCTTTAAAAAAAAGCAGATTTTTAAAAAGATTTTACCTTTACGGCTTTTGCTGTCTCCAGAGATTGTTCAGGAGGAATTCCCACCTCCCTCTCCCTTAGGAGCTGCTGAATGAAATATGTAATATCTCTACCTGCAATAGGGATATGTTTGATGCAACTTCCAATTACATAACCTTCTGCCTATGGAAAAAAAGATACTTAGAAAAAAAGTGGTGTATGAAGTATTGATAGTTATCAGCGGAGTCAAAACATTAGTTTTTACCAAGCAGCTTCTTAATTTTAAATTTTAATTAACAAAAAAAGAATCTTAGATGCCGACTCCTTCAAGTGATCCCCTTCAAATCCACAATACAAATTTGTAAAGCCATTATATGCTAGATGCTACTTGTGTTTATCAGACTGATAACCATTTGCAAATGTGACATTTCTTATCTAATATGCTAAATGATAAATAAAAGGATGATCTTAGGTGAAGGTGCATGTTAAAGACAAAGAAGACCCCCAGTGAAGAGGTTTGATCAGAAATGGTCAGCAAAAGTAAAATATACTCATGAAGAGGACAAGCATTAGTCCTATGAGATGCTGAAAAATGGAAAGAAAAAGTTGACAAAAAAACAAAAACAAAATACAATATTAAAAAAAGGGAAGGGAAATCGGACATTAAACATAGTATAAAAAAGCAATGTCTTTCCTTTTCACCCCCTCCTTTTTCAGGATTAAATTAAAGACCAGAGGAAAACTGGAGAAAAGAATAAAGGGGACACCATGGACAGTTATGTTAAATGCAACAATGATTACTACAGTTACATATTTATTACTGCACATGCAAAACTTTCTTCACTACTTCCAGTTTTTGCCAACTGAAGCAAACACTGCAAGGACATGTAATTACCAGACTGCGATACATTTTAAAGGAGCCCACTGGCCTACACTACACTTCAGTACTTAAATGTCGTTCAGATGCATTATATGCTATGCAAATATATGGGATGCCATAATTTGAACAGAAGTTAGAGGGAGTAAAATAACTATTACATTTTCATATCCCAAGAGGCTTAAGTCCATTTCAAACAGACTATTTAAATGACTATTTATTTATATAAATTTGCTGTTGTATCACCCATATATAAAATACTCCAAACTGCAATGGAAAGTAACAACTCTATACTTATAAAGCAAATATACAACCAAAAACACAATTTGTAAATGGATTTTAAAATATACAGAATCATGATAGACATGATGGCAAATATGGAGTCACTTCTCCTGCATGAAGGAAAATCCAGAAGTACTGCCTAGCCTTCCAATTTTTGGGCACCAGTAACAAATATTCAGTCATTTAAATAGAGCAAAAATTGGGATGTGACAGGATGTACGACCAGGACTTATACAAACATATGAATCTGGTATAAAGTATAGGGGCTCCTTCTTCAGGGCCTTCAATAGTACGGACTCCCCTAAAAAAAAAAAAAATCTATTCAAGAGGTACTGAACTTTTACCTTATTTTGCAAAATAGAAAAAAAATCCACTTCATTTTCCAAAAAATATATAAAGTGTATACAGGGCCACAAAAATTAGATTGGAAACATAGAGGGGAATAAAAAAATATTGATCTTAGGGAAAAGGAGAGTTATAATCATGTTTATTTAATTCAACTGAAACTTTTTTTTTCCCCATGGCATAATTCACACCTTGTCTAGACTCATTAGAAAAGCTCCCTTTTTCTGTATACTCTTACCACTATAAAAGTTAAAAATTCTTTAAATATTTTTTGTATTTATAGTCTCATTCCTGCAGAAATTTCTATTGGCATTAGCTAAATTTTAGTCCTAAATTAGGCTGACAGTGTCACTTTAACATACTTAATGTTCCTTTTCCCCGACTCCCTCCCTCAGTGACAATTAAGAGGCACTCAGTCCAGAAAAAAAAACAACTCATCTTTTAATTCAAGCCTGAAGAAATTCTCACACTTGTGCAAACAGTTCTACTACATACCACAGGAATTACGTGGGTTACTCCATCACCACTGTCAATGACAATTCCTGTTAACGTACGTTCTCCAACCTGCCGTGATGTCCAAGATGCAGCTAAGGCCAATACTGCCTATATAAGAAACAGTTAATATTTAGATATGGGTAAGACAAACTAAATTTTAATCTTTAAAAAATACTGCTTCAAACATTTTAGGCATGTGCTTACATACTGCAGCTATACTGTACTTTAGAAGGATAGATTCACTTTGTTCACCTGAACAGCAATGTAAAGTCCTGGTACATTAAAAGATTCAAACATGATTTCTGCAAGATACTCTCTGTTTTCTGGAGTGTTCAATGGAGGTTCTGTCTGTAAAGAAAGGCCACTTTATTAACCACCTATCACAGTATGCGCTTTTATCAAACTTGGCTCAATACAACAGTAAATGAATTTTTCAGTTTATCAATTCACTCAAAACACCCCAAAGGAGTCTCAGGTACAGAGACAAGAACTGTATAATCTGTGGCAGACAACCCTGACCACCCACAACATGGTAAAATTTCTTTAAATTTAATTATTATAAATTACTGATTATCTGGAAAAGCTTGGTTTTATACATATGAGTAATGGTATCATGTTGTGCCCATAATGGACTGACCTACAAATACTCATAGGCTAAGTACAGACATTCAGAAATGCCTGAGGCAGAATCGATTTAAGTTATGCAGTTTAGATTGTGGCATAGTTTAGATTCCTAGGGAATCTAGGACGAAATAACTTGTTGAGAGTAAGCTTGCATATACTTATGGAGTTCCTTATTGATTTCAACCAAACCACTCAGACGAATAAAGTTAAGCACAATGTATGCATTTGCAAAACCAAGGTCTAAGAGTCTAAATCACAGTCTACATTATATTCAGGAAGTAAACTTAGCCTCTAAAAATTCTTCATGTCCCATCTGTTCCTACCTGGAAATGAATGGACTGCCAACAAAAACAGTACCAAAAGTACTATAGGGTTGCTTTAAAGTAAACTACAATCAAATTATTTTGCAGAAGTCCATGTATCTGATTACACACAATTATATACTATAATAAACTACATTAGCATCACAAATTTTACAACCACTCTTCCAGCCAAACCATTTGAATAACTTAAAGTTCAGTGTTGGCATGTTTCAAGGTAAATCCAATTTGAGACCTTAACTACTTAATAGTGCTCCCTTATTAAATCAATTATATATTCATCTACCCTTATGAAAAACTACTGCTTAAAAACAAACATTTTGCATTAGGTAACTGAAATCATCTTCAATAAAAGCTGTTCACATAACTGTGCAATTGCTAACATACAGCACGTTGCTAAGTAACATTTCCCCTTATTTTACCGAACATTTTATTTTGTTTGAGTAAAATCAGTCAATTATTTTACGCAGCATCTGTAATTCAATCAAGATGCCTAAGCTTTTAAAAAATAAAGTCAGAAGCCAAGAAGCCTGCTTCAGAAATTTATTGGAACCTCCCTTTAATGAAATTTTATGTATTGTTTCAACCACAATAAAAAGAAATGAAAAGTTGGAGAGAAAAAAAAGGCTTCTAGGCTTTATATGTTATAACAAAGTCTACTTGTGTTTGGAATATTATCCAGCCTTTCATTTGTGGAAATATTTTCTTATGCAGCCCCATTACTCACCATTAAGAAGTAGTGATCCTCGGGCTCAGCTCGAAGATATTTAAAAATTACTTGCTCCATGAATCTTTCCATGAGGTCCCAATCTTCAACAATACCATGTCGTATAGGCCACTGAGGCAAAACAACAGAGGTATGCCAACATCTTAAGTAAGCTCAGCATGTGACCCAGTAGGCAACAACAGAAATCAGCCTGAGAAGCAAAATCCTAGCATAGGATGTGCAAGCAAGAAACTTTATGCTGTTACCATTCTAATTTTAAACTAAAGCCAACATTTTAAGCCATCTTCTGCTCCCAGATCTCCCAGTGTGATTCTGACCATGGATAGCACACTGGACTTCAAATCAGGAGAGTTGGGTTCTTTCCAGTCTTGGCTCTGTCATTATTCTATCTGCTGACCTACGGAAGATCACTTCACCTCTCTGTGCAACAGGTAGCTCAAGTGGTAAAACAGAGATGAGACTTGTCCTCCCTGGTAATGCGTTTCTCAGTCTATAAATGAAAAGAATGAAGACCAAGCCACCCAAAGGTTCCTAACAGAAGGCAGCATCAGTGCCCAGCATACAGTAAGTGCTTACCTTCCCAGTAGCATACATTATAAATGATTATTCTTATACTAATATTATAAGAGCCTACATCTGTCTGTCTGTCTGTCCGTAACACTTTATTCGCACTCTGATTGGCTGACGGAAACAGCCAATAAGAGCACTCTAAGCTTGGGGGAGCACCACCATGTTTCTGAAGCCGCGCCAAGAACCGGACGCGGGGGGGAGGACCAGACAGAGGGGAGGCTCTGCTGAGGACAGGACAGGGTTTGGGGGGCGGAGGGAGGGGGTCCCCCACCCTGGTCCCAGCAAGCTGCGCCAAGGACCGGACAGGGGGTCAGGGAGCTGAGGCCAGCAGTGCTGGCCTCGGCTCCCTGACCCCACTCCCTACAAAAGACAGAACAGCGGCAGCATGGGGCGTTAGGTGGTGGCACTCCATCCCACCCCCACCCCCACCCCTCATTCATTCTTGATGGGCAACTGGCTAGTTTTTCTTATAAATGTTCAGTATATGCTGAATATTAATGCACCACAAAAAGTACCCTTTACCATGATAAAGAAAACCTGACACATTTGAGGAAATGAGCCTGTGCAAAGGAATCAGGGGACATGTATTGATGTTTCACAAACTTTGCTTAGTGACAGCAAACTTCAGAAAATGGTGATTAAATGGCTGTCGGGCACATCTGAAATAACCATCAATAATGAAGAGATTCCTGAAAGATGATGACATTTCCTTTTGTGTTCTTACCTTTGTGGCATAGGTAGGTTTATCTATGGCTTCATCTCCTATGAAAAAGTCTAGATCATCAACTCCCTTCATTACTCTCCTCTGGGCTTGGTCACCTACTTTGGCTGACTCTCTGATTGCAATACCTAAATAAATAAAAATCTATTAAAGATAAGAAGTGAAATGCTTTATCAACAGAGAAATACTATGCAAGAAAGTAAAGCTTCTTCCTCTGCTAGTTTAAATATGTCAACATAGCTAGCCTGTTAGGGTACATTTCCAGTGCCATACACAGGGATGTGACTGTTCATCTTTGATTAACTTTGATAGAATTTTGTGACCATACATCGCTTTAAAAACAAAACAAAACAACAAAAACAGCGTTCTGTTATACACTACAGCCATCAGTAGAACAATATACTTCCAGAGGTCTAATCCAGTAAACCCTCTTGAAGCCAGGAAATGGCAAGGTTGAGAATTAAGAGAAAGCACACAGTGGTGGAAAGAAATGAAGAAAGAATACACTGAAATGTTAAGTTACTGAGGTATTATCCTGGTTGGTAGGAAAGAAGTCAATTTTTAGCCCAACAGAGAAGCCTATGGAAGGCTTGCCATTAGCCAAAAGAAACTATCCCTAAGATCACTAATTGAAGGCTGATGTAGGCAACAAAAAACATATGAGGCAAACTCTAAATAAAAATGGAACAAACTACTGTAAGATGCAAGCTGTGTACAGTCTTGTTCCAGTCAGCCAGGCACACACACACACACCTGCCTGTAGGGAACACACAGGGTATAGAATAATGGAACTAAGAACTACTGCAGAGCCTGAACACGTTTCCAAAACCCAATCAAAAACTTCATGAACAGACTACTTTCATGAACTGCTGGTTTCTATAAATGTTTAAAGCAAATATTTCTTATCTCGCTGCATATGCAAAATCTTATTTACTCTGTACAATGCATGTGCATAGCTTTACAAACTAGTGTTTAATTTTGTCTTAAAACTTAAGTTTTAAGTTCAAGGTAGCTACATAGCACTATACAACTACACTATGGTTGAGGTAGAAACCATTTCTCCAGTTACTTCTTTGGAACTCTGGGCATATCTAGTATTTCCTTACCTTTGAAGTATTTGTCTAAAAAAATTCCATTTTCAAGGCAGGCAAAAAACCCAAAAAAAACCCTGTAGATGTTAGAGGTGCACCGATGCATCGGTCCGATATCGGATCAGCACCAATTTACAAAAAAATTGATTATATCAGAAACTGGCTTTTTTTGCCTGATGTAGCCAATAATGTGGCCAAGAAATGCCCTGTGTATGTGCACAGCCCAGCAACTTGGAGAGCTGCATCCAGCTGGTAAGTCTGTTGTTGTAGAAAGGCAGGGGGAAGAGAAGAGATGTGGGGCGGGGGAGACGACAGATCAAGGCCCCCGTGGTAAGGGAGGGAGTGGGACTGAGGCTGGAGCAGGCGCTGCCCAGCTGGGGCATGGCACGGAGCCATGGCTCATCTGGGCTCGCAGGGGGGTGCGGGCAGCTCCTGCTGCTGCACGGACTCCAGGAGGGCATGGGGGGAGGGAGGGTGCATGCCCCCCAGATCTGCGTGGGGCAGGGTGGCTGCTCCTGTGGGCTGAGGCCGGCGCCAGGCTCTTCCCGGCAGGGGCTGGGCTGGGCTGGGCTGGGGACGGGTGGTGGTGGTGCTGAAAAGGGGGGTTGGGAGGGCTACGGTGAATTTTGGGGTGGCTCCTGCCCCCACGCCCCTGAAGCCCCACTCCCAGCACCACCGCTGCCCGCCCCGAGCGCAGCACGGCCCATCCCCCACCAGGCAGAGGTGCCTGGGGATGGGAGCTGTCCCCCCGCCCCCTTCCTGCACCCCTCAGACAAGCCACAGCTCTGTTCCACACCCCATCCAGCCCTAGCTGGGCAGCACCTGCCCCAGCCCCTGCCACGTTCCCTCCCTCACTGCAGGGGCCTCAAACTGCACCCCCCACAGCCTCTCTCTTCCTCCACCTCTTTCCCCACAACAGACTTACCAGCCAGACACTGCTCTTCAAACCACCGGGCTGCGTATCGGAAACTGGATCCGTATCAGCCGATATGCCTCCTTAAAAATCGGCTATTGGTATTGGCCCAAGAAATCTCTATGGGTGCACCCCTAGATGTTAGAAAATTAAGTTCCAGATTAACAGATAAAATTCCGTAAACCTTTTCAAATACAGTACTGCAACAATTAGAGATAGATATTGGTAGTTAGTATCTCAAAATTTAAAGTAGCATGTAGTCCACTATAAATTCCACTGCATAAAATTTAAGATTTAAAAATTTCTAATGTTAATATGGGATGTTCAAAACGGTTAACAGATCCAGACAACATGATGATTTTAACAGACTAAGGAAACACACATTTAAAAAAGTAAAAATACTACTTTCAGTGCTGAACAATTTTTTTAAACATTTATTTTATTTTATTCTTTCTAGAGTCTCCCTCAAAGGTGGATACATACCACAACCAGGTGGTACTGCTGATTTAGTACTTAGACAGAAGGCCTTCCACAAATTCCCCAAGTTTCAATGAGGGTGTTAGGTTGAGAGGAAAGTAGCTTGTATTCCATAAGCCAGAGTCCCGGCAGAAAAAAACAGTTGAGATGGAAAGAAAATTGAGCTTACTCTGAACGTCTTTATCACAGCAACCAGAAGCTGATTTAATGAGCAACAGTCCTGGAAAACTGGAGACAAGGAGGTCCCTTCATTTATACTCTAGCCAAGGATACTAAGATACTGAATATCACTTGTCAAATAGACAAAGATAATTGGGAAGGCTGAGTTAGGAGCCGGAAGAAGCACAAAGTTCCTCCTGAGCCTGGTTAGGCATGGTTAAGGTATGACTGTTTCTGCAGACAGCAGCACCCAAGGGAATGAGATAGCTTACATCACATCCAGCCAGTTTTGGTTCCTCAGCCCTCATGATCATTTATCCATTAACAGAGAGAGGTAGTTAGCCACGTTAGTCTGAAGTCAAGCAGAAGGGAGGGTAGTTGATCTGCAAAGTGTAAATCTAAGTCAGAGCTCTACAGCTTTTGTTAGCCCAAACTCATTTCATCAGACGCTGTGAAAAAGCATCTGATGAAGTGAGCTTGTTCTCACAAAAGTTTATGCTAAACAGCTGTGATTCAGTTAGTCTGTAAGGTGCAAATATACCATTTATACATTTATATGCAGGTCAACTGGGAGAAGCCCAGTACAAGTTGGGGTGGGGGACTCAAACTCATTCCTTAACTGCTCTGCCAACTGTGTCCCTTCAGGAGCTGGAAAGCAAATTACTTACTACTCAACACTTTGTGAATAATGCTATTCATGAGAACCTGGGGCAAAAATTACTTACATGATGGAATAATGAACTGCGGTTCTGTATTTCCTGCATAGCCAAGTTTTGTATACCTAAAAAGAAAGTTATCAATAGGTCTTTAGATGCATCGAGAAAAAAAACTACTTTTTGCACAAAGTTGGCAACATAAAGTATAGCAACAGTAATCCCACTTCTGTCAGCACAAAGGCCAAACCTGTATATGAAACAACTAAATTTTGAGCTACATTTTAAGTGCAGTTCTGTTCTGAAGAGAGACGCAGTCTGGTTCCATATTGACATCTCAATGACTTGTATATCAAGCATCTCTGTTTACAAGTAGTTTTTTTCCTTCCAACCCTGCAAATTCAACTCATAAATTATTTTGTCTTCAGTAATATCTGCTCAATCCTATTATCTTTGAGGGGGCTGGCATACCTACACAAAAACATCATCTGAGTGGAAGTGTATATTGTCTAACAGGAGCACGAGAGAGCAGAGGGAGGAAGTACTTACTGTTCTAACCCTGGTGGCAGCACAGATCCCTTCTGTGGCCTTGCACAAGTCACTTTACCTGAATTTACTGCATTATAAAATAGTGATATTCACTTATCTCATGCATGAATACTTGCTAATAAATTGCCATGATGATTGCCAGTGGAAATTATAAAATGAAAGAATCACAGAGAAGTAGGGCTGAAAGGAACCTCCAAAGATCATCTAGTCCAACCCCCTGCCTGAGGCAGGACCATCCCTCTCCAAACAATCCCATACAAACCCATCATCTAAACTCTTTGTAAAACTACCATCCGCCCTAACACACAACATAACACCCTAACACAACATAAACACCCTAACCTGCCACAGGTAAAGCAGGGGAACTGTTTTGTTCTGGTTCTGTAAAAGGCTATTAATATAAGCTCAAGAGATCCTATGTAGAGGGCTATACCCCAGTGACAGAGGAAGGCAAAAAAGTCCCACACCAATCTGACCATAGGGGAAAAATTCCTTCCTGACCCCAAATTTGGTAATTGGTCTGACCCTGAACAGAGGGGCAAAACCCTCTAGCCAGCAACCTTCGGCTTTGATCCCAGTAGGAGCATTTGCATGCCCCAGTCAAAATCCCCAGGCTTGGCTGCAGTCAACACCCAATGGCCCCAAGGAGGGCTTAAAAACCCACTGACAAATACTGCAAATCAAAAAATTCCACATATGTCGCTTCAAGAGAAATGGAATGGGTGGTTCAGGATGAAAGATAACACCAAAAATAATTTGCATTGTCTGCAGTGGTTGGTCAGTGGTTGCAGTCTAGCTCAGACATAAATCAGAGCCAAGACTATGACAAATTATTCTAATTCTTAGTGGACAGGCAAGTACTTCGACTGAACTCCAGTCATGACTGGAATCCTTTTTAGTAATTCCAGCAGAGTTTGATTAGGGCACTCACCGGCCAATGAACAGATACATATTTAAGCCATTTTATCTTCCTCCTGGATTACAATCTATTGGTTAATAATGAAATACTGTGATTGCAAGTTATGGAGCTATCATGCAGAAATACAAAATTCCTCCATAATTTATTAAAAGTACAAGATTTTCTAGGCAGCTAGACCAGAATACCCACAAGTAGGAAAAGAAAAGAGAGACCAAACCAAAGAAAACTGGTCCTGGAGCCAGTTTTGTTCAACATCTTCATCAACAATCTGGAAGATGGGATGGACCACACCTTTAACAAGTTTGCGGATGACACCAAACTGGGGAGTAGTAGATATGCTGGAGGGTAGGGCTAGGATTCAGTGACAAATTGGAGGATTGGGCCAGAAGAAATCTCATGAGGTTCAACAAGCACAAGTGCAAAGTCCTGCAATCCCACGCACCAGTACAGGCATGGGACCAACTGGCTAATCAGCAGCTCTGCAGAAAAGGTTCTGGGGGTTACAGTGGACAATAAACTGGATACAAGTCAACTGTGTGTCCTTGTTGCCCTAAAAGGCAAACAGCATACTCAGCTCCATTAGTAGGAGTGTTGCCAGCAGATCAAGGAAGTAATTATTCCCCTCTATTCCGCACTGGTCAGATCACATCTGGTGTACTGTGTCCAGTTTTGGGTCCCCCAACTATAAAAGGTTGCGTACAATTTGGAGAGAGTCCAGCAGAGGGCAACAAAAATGGGCTGGGGCACATAACTTATGTGGAAAGACTGAGGGAGCTGGGCTTATTTAGTCTAGAGAAGTGAAGACAGGGGTGATATAATAGCAGTGTTCAACTACCTGAAGGGGGGCGACTGTGGCATCGATGCCTACACAGTCAGATGGATTGCTAATTGGCTGAAGGGTTGTACTCAGAGGGTGGTGGTGGACGGGTCATATTCGACCTGGGGGAAAGTGGGCAGCGGAGTCCCCCAGGGCTCGGTCCTTGGGCCCGCACTGTTCAATTTCTTTATCAGTGATTTGGACGACGGGGTGAAAAGCAACCTGTTCAAATTTGCTGATGATACCAAAATTTGGGGTGAGGTGGGCACGCTAGTAGGGAGGGAAAGACTGCAGAAAGACCTGGATAGGTTGCAAGGGTGGGCTAACAAAAACAGGATGC